TTCTGACAGTTGGAGATGTTATTCGGTCTGATTCACATCTAACATCAAATGTATGCTAAAACCTTTTGTAAATCAACATTAGTTAACTACCATAAGAAAAAGAAAAATTTTGAATTGGTAGCTGCACATATATCAAATGATATAATACCGAAAATCTTACCAAAGTATGACTTTAATCTTCCTGTGGACGAAAATTCACTTTCAAGTGAACAAGTCCAGGAGACTAGAGAAAACATACATAATTTATCAAAAGATTTTCGTCTTAAAGCAACAGAACTCTATCTAAAAATCGTCAAAGAAGAATTTGAATTTCAAAAAGAAAGATTACAAAAACTTATTGATGATTTTCCAGAAGATAGATATGAAGTATCATCAACACAAATTAATACAAATGTTGTGGTTGATGATGATGATGATGATGACGAAGAACCTTTAGATAATAGAGTTTTTACTCAAAAACCATTATCACAACGACAAGAAACTATAAACAATAAGAAAGGTTCTGAATTATTTAAAAAATATATTGTAATTGCACATAAAAGAGCTCAATTAGAAATTGAAAGAGAAGTGCATTTTTTATTCGAACGAGGCGTCCAAGAGACGCCAGTCGGAACACAAGAGCCAAAAGATCTAAATCCAGTAATGCGAATGGATTTTTTGCTCCAAGTATAATAAATCAATCTGATATAAATTTAAATAGGAGAGAAGAGGCCCTCCTAAAATTAGGCCCGAAATATATTCCTAATAACCCTCATCTCGCTCATAAACGTATGAGAGCTGAGATAGAGTTGGTTATGAAAAAGATTGATAAAATATTCATTGAACATGGATGGATACTACCTAAACAACGAATACAGATCTTTATAGACTCGCTCGAAAAGATCTTAACTGATTGTCATGGAAGACATCCGTCATCTGTTCAATTAAAAGAAATCAATAATTTAAGAAATAAATTTGAAGCCACACAAACAGTCATCAGAAAGACAGATAAGTCTAAAGTTTTTCATTTAGGAAAGCTGGATGACTATAAAGTGAAGGCTCAAACATATATGATTAAGACTGAAGCTTATCAAGATTTGGGTGCTATAAACCCACTTGAATCTTTAGTTGAACGCACAAATAAGTTCCTTTATGGTTTATGGTATAATAAACATATTACACAAAAACAATATGAGAAATTAAAGGTTAATCAAGAAGAGGCTGAATTAGCCCACCTTTATTTCTTACCGAAAGCACATAAACCAGGAACACCATTAAGACCTATAATGTCTGGTCTCAAATCTCCAACCATTGCCATATCGAAATGGTTAGATAGTTTATTAAGACCTCTTTTCGATCGATTAGCATCTGAAACAGCTGTATTGAATGGGGTTCAATTAATAAAACAAGTTGAGAAATGGTCGGATAAATATCTTACACCAGCCACATCATTCATAACAATGGATGTTACTGATTTGTATACAATGATTCCTCAAGAAGGAGGAGTAACAGCCATAAAAAGATTAATTGAAACATCTGGTTTAAAACAAATCGATGGTGTTAAAAAAGAGATTATATTAGCTCTTACCAGATTTGTTATAACAAATAATTATTTCTATCTTGATGGGTCATATTATAAACAAATAAAAGGAGGCGCAATGGGCTCGCCACTCACCCTCACTATAGCAAATACATACATGTACTTTGTTGAACGTCCAATATTCAAATGGGCTCAAAGAACATGTTCATTATATTACAGATATATAGATGATTTATTTATCATGTCAAATGTACATGCAGATATATTAAAAGGTCTTGTAAAATTCTGGAATAGACTTGATAATAATATCGTATTTTCAGAATTCATAGGACATACTGCAGAGTACCTTGATGTTAAATTAGAGAACAGAGGAGGAAAATTGGTATCTGAAGTTTACTATAAACCATCATACGAACCATATTTCCTCCCTTTCACAAGCATACATGCACAACATATAAAAAAGAATATTCCTTATGTAGCTCTTGTTCGAGCAATAAGATATTCTTCGAGTTATGATACATTTAAACGTGAAGAAACTCATATATGTATGTCATTGCTTTTAAATAAATATCCATTACAATTTGTACTTGAACAATTTGAAAGAGTTTTACAAACATTTCAATGTGCGGTGTCAATAAAAAAGAATTATTCTGAAATAAGAAGAATCTTTTTAAATGCCGCAGATAATGATGAAAAGAAGGCTGAAATTGATTTCAAGGTCAATATTTTTTGTCATTTCTCTTTTTCAAAAGGAGTGCAAGATTTTCCGACCAGATTTCATCAACTCTGGAACGATTGTTTTTCAGATACAGCCATTTGTAATATAAAACCGATTGTAGGTTCTAGAAGATTAGATAATCTTCAAGATTATCTTGTCAGAAAGAAACCAGATAAATCAGTACTTAAAATTAAATGAAATACTTACTTGATGTATATTTCATAGAAAGAAAACATCGCATAAGTGGTCTAATTTATATTTGGAACATTTCTTTGAGAGGAGTTCTAATAGTTTTTAGAACACTTCTCTAACATAGAAGTTCTGATAGATTTAGAACACTTCTCTAACATAGGAGTTCTAATCAATTTAGAACACTTCTCTTGTTTGCAGATATGTATATCTATGGTTGGTGCAATCGCAATAACGTTAACAAATAACACAATCGATAGATGGTTATTTTCGGTCCAAGATCATACCTATCTTACCAACAATGGTCCTTTCTGACCAAATAGCGCCGTTTTCTCTTTGTTGTTCGTTTTTCACGAGTAATTAGAGAGGTCCTTTCGACCATCTATTTTTCTTGTCAATCTTATAGGTCCTTTAGACCATAAGTTTTTGTTCTCTTTTTTGTTGTTGCTGTTGTATAAATTAATTTTTTCGGATTAGTTTTTTGTAAATTCTGATGACGTGTGGTTTAAATCACACAGAAACTAGTCAATAAATAAACATTTACAAAAACACAAAAAACTTTTTTATTTCATCTCGAGAGTAGTGAACTCATTAGAAAGAGGTTATATCTGAATAAGAATAACCAACTACTTTTAATTCTAATAAAGGAATTTCGTCGAAAATCTGTTACTATACACTCATAAATTAAAGCCAATTGTACTCTTATTAGATTGTATAATTTCAGTAAAAAAATGATATTCGGCGTTTGAAAGAAATAGTTTTGTTCAGCTTCTCGCACTGAATTTCTTGTTATGATGCTTGAAAAAGTTCGCTAATTTATTGCATTAGCCTCGATGAACGCCGAGAGATTAATATAGTACTATTCTTTTGATAGTTGCTAAGTAGTAATAGAAAGCCAACATAGACTAACTTCATTGCAGAATAGTCAAATGAGGTAAAAATTTAGGTTTAGCGGATCTAGACGATGGTCTTTTCAATACACATTAAAAAAAATGAAAACTTAAAAGGTTGATCGATGCCTGGAATTCTTGACCATCTCGACATCAACTCTCTCCTGAGAAACTAATTAGAGATTTGGATTTCTCGAGCCTAGCTCTTTCGGAAAAAGAACTTTACAAAAAGGAACATTATTTTCCTGAAATATCCTTTGCGTGTCGAGAAATTCGATTGAGAAATTTTGAGAAACTGACTGTAGAGTGAGATTCCTTGAACTTGAAGCTTATTACCATCAATGAAAGTTTGTAAAAAAAAAGTCGGTTTTTTCCCAAAGTAAATTTTTTTAATTTCGAGCATCGAATGACAAATTCTCAATTTCCTGTTATCTAGTCCAATCATAAGTAGCTTTCCTATACTACATAACAGCACTGGTTAACAATATCGAATCGAAGTTTCAATTCTGTCAAAATGCTGAGAACTCTTTAATATAACGGTGCAGACCAGTTGACACTTTATCAGGCGAACTATAGTACCATATCGAGCAGTTCAAGTACGGTTGTGGGTGTGTGGTGTGGATGTCGGTGTCAGTGTTCTTTTCTTTCTTTACACTCACACCCACACCCCATACACCTACACCTACACCCCACACCCACACCCTCAATCATTTTTGTCCGGCGAACATATTCGTCGTCTCTTATTGTACAATGGTAGTAAAACGCTTTGGAATTCTCGTCAATATACCACGTGAGTAATGATTATCAATCATCATTTGCTATATCTTGATTAATTACATTAAATCCCAAAGTATTTCTAGTGAGCGATGGATTCAACAAAATGCTTTACCATGTCCAAAGTGTGGATCACCTATTGTAAAAAATGGTGGCTGTGATCGAATGAGATGTACGCAATGTTTACATCAGTTTTATTGGTCAGAAGCAGCAGTTAATGGTTGGCGAAAACGGTTCAAGCGATCACGACCATCTACAGCTAAAACCGATAGTAAATAAGCTTTCATCAAACAAGGAAGAAATAAACAACGAAGGGTGTGGGTGGGGAGTGAGTGTGCATGTGGTGTGTGTGGGTGTGGCTGTTAGTTAGCAGATGAACTACTTTTGCATTTATATCCACACCCACCCTTAAAAAAAGCTGATGTTTCATTTCAAATGTTACAAACCAGGAGTAGCAGCAAAACCAGGTCCTATTCGCTAATTAAAAAACAAGATAGACTAGCTAAGGTTATATCTAATTTATTGGTACAATTGCTTCATTTTCTCTTTTCTCACTTGTTGTTTGGATGTCTATTATTTTTTCTTTCGGATTTTTTCTTATTCATTCAAATTTCTTTCTCTCATAATATGATTCTTGATGCAGTTAAAATTATTTTCTTATGGATCAAATCTTTATATTATACTGATCTAATTTGTGCATTTTACTGTTAATTATAACTATTATACCGGTCATTTTATGATTATCTACCAATCATTCATATGTGTTTTCACTGATAATTCAATCTATTTTCCCAATCAAATATTTTCTTCATATATAACTAATGATCCACTTACACTTATTTAATTTGCAAACACAAAAGCACTATATCTGACATTCAACGTCTTATTTCTTTTAAATCTCCGCCATATATTTAGCTTTGTCTACTACATTTGTTTCACAAAACTCAAAGAATAAATTTACTAACGTAGTCTGATGAGAAAAAAATTGCTTGTCTCATTGCCGAATACATTTTTCTAACAATAACTTTTTTTTTCGGTGTATTTTCGTTATTGCGTGCTGCCACATGCTATGGATATTTACTCTACTAGAAGATAATTGGTCTTATATGTAAAAGTAAAAGTGTTTGTGTCCTACACATCTATACTTTTCTGCTGGATATTCATTAATCTGCCAGCGAATAGTGAGCTACCAGAGGTGGGATCGGTTGGCATTTTTGCCAAACCGAACCGACCGTAACCGAAAAAAGCTCTAACCGAACCGAACGTAACCGACCGAATTTTTTAAAATTTCTAA